ACGAACGCATTTCAATAACATTGATCAAAAGAATACAAAAGTATCAGTAAAACAATGTAGAACCGAAGTTCTAATACTAGTGAAAATTGACTTTTTTAGACGAGTGTTTCTAACAAGTAGATGCACCTTCTCATTCTTATCTTTGGGGCAATCTGTAAGGGTAAAATCCAGGAAAGGAGAACGTAGTGCCCTCAATTCATCCAACACTGGTGCAAAGCACAGCAGTTGTCCGGCTCCGACACCATAGCTATTAATTTGTTGTGAACATCACATAGTACCGTTTTTATTAAATTAAATGTAAACATCTTATAATTTGTTAAAATAGTTGATTACATTTAATTGAAGAACAAGAGAAATGAAGCAGCCGTTGACTATCTTCATCTCTGTTCTTTGATCAATGGCATCCACACAGTAGTATCTTTGTCTTTAATATCCATTAATTGTATTCCTTTAATCATCAATTCTGCTCTAATCTCGTCGCTTCTCCCATATTCTTCATTCTTTTTCGCCATTCTCCTTTCTTGTATTAACCGAGAAATGTCTTCTTCTCCCAATCCTGCTCTTGTTAGTGTTTTTTGTTTCATTTCTTTCAGAATCTCGGCATAGCTCAGAGTAGTTAGCAAACCAAGTACATCAAGAACTTCTCTTGCTGCTTTCTCAATCTCAACGAGTGACACAAGCAGCTGCTTTTTTGGCATATCCTGAAAATTGAGAAAAGAGAAAGACAACATTGGTATTGTGTATGCTAGAGGTGATAAGAAAAGAAGAAGGGCAAAGCAGAAACCTTGAGCTTTCCAATCGAGGAGTTGATGAATCTTAATGCATCTTGGTAAGCACCCGTAAGAATATGGGCAGTATTCAAATCGTCTAACATCTTTGCTTCAAACTCACTTTTCAGGTTGTTAATGATGTCTATGGCTGCTGGTTCAGCTTGCCCACCGTCGTCTTCTGACATTGCTTCTCGATATGGCAAGAGAGCATCATCAAGACCTTGTAATGTCTAATAGACAAAGATGAAAGGATAAATTACGACTTTGTCTCACTATTAATTCTTCTATTCCCATATAACTCATTACAACTAAACAGAGGCTAATCAAATAGTTTACGTAATTTTGAAAACATATCTGAGGCACTGTACCTGATAAACATAATATAAAGCTTGTGACGAACTCTCTAGCTGTGATTCTGAAAAACTCAGAGGAGACCGATACTGTGCACTCATCAAGAAGTGCCTCAGAGCCAATGGATGGTAATTAGCTGTGATCTACACAGATTTGAAAGAAAAAGAAAAAGAAAAAGGATCATAACCTGTAAATAACTCTGTGTTTAGCCATGGGAACGAAGAAATGCTCAATGATTATTTATATTTGGAACATCTAAGAAGCATACTTACTTGTCTGATTGTTTTAAAGTTTTTCTTTGATTTTGCCATCTTCTCGTTATTGATAGTGACATGCCCATTATGCAACCAGTAATTCACACRACCYTCCTCYCATGCAGCACATGTCTGAGCGATCTCATTTTCATGATGCGGGAATTTCAGATCTGCACCACCACCGTGAATGTCAAATCTCGGAGACAGGTAATGAGCACTCATTGCACTGCACTCAATGTGCCATCCTGGTCTTCCTGGACCCCACGGGCTCTCCCAGCTTGGCTCATCGGGTTTTGCAGCCTGCATGTTTAAACATCAGTTCATCATAGGCCTCAATTTAACTGACTCAGAGCTAAAAAGATTTTGATTCCCAAACCTTCCARAATGCAAAATCAGCAGGGTTACGCTTTCTCGAATCAACAGCAACACGCTCACCAGCTCGRGTYTGTTCCAASATTTMCCCAGATAGTTTWCCATAATTTGGAGARTTGTCAACCGAAAAGAACACATCGCCTTCCACTACGTACCCACAGTCTTTCTCAATGATCTGTAACAGGCAGATCATAAAACTTTACTGATAATTCCAACTTCATGTACTCAACTAACAAAAAGAAGAATATGAGATCTCTAACATACCGTTTGGATCATCTTAACAATGTGATCCATATGGTCGCTGACACGAGGTTGGTGGGTGGGAAGGAGACACTGAAGAGCACCCATATCTACCAAATACTCCTCGCAAAAGCGATTACTCAAATCTAACGGGCTCTCTCCATTCTCATTAGCACGTTTGATAATCTACAGAGATCCAAAAACATAGATTATAT